TGCATGAACTAAGGTGATCATGCTGGTCTTCGCCCGAAACGTAGTGTGTACAATGTACACACTACGTTTCGGGCGAATGTCATTCCCGTCTTTATCTAGTCTGACAATTCGAGGAGGTGCGACCTCTCCCAACTCACACACACGCATACGCACACACATACACGCACACACACACACACGCACGCACATACAACACACACACACGCACGCACGCGCACACCGCACACACATACCTATACGACCACCCCACCCTGCGGGTGATAAGGAGGTTTGGGGGGGCAGCAGTGGGCAAAAGTGGTGATTGTTGTTCTGACGATGCCTGTGGGGCGGAGTCTAGTGAGTAGTGTGATTGTGTACGTGAGCGCGATGTGATGTGGCGATGTTGGCGAAGCGCACTCGACATTGTCGTGAAGCGCTGTCCCCGCGTGCGCTTATCAATCTCGCGAACCTTACCTCAGCGCTGATCGACAGCGGGACTCCAGCGGGACACCGGTGGGACACCGCGGGCCACCGGCCGCCGGAGGAGAAAAATTTGGTCTGGCCGCGGCCCAGCCACAGGAGGATTTCGGGACACCAGCGGGACACCAGCGGGACACCGCGGGCCACTGGCCGCCGGAGGAGAAACATTTGGTCTGGCCGCGGCCCAGCCACAGGAGGATTTCCTCTCGCCCGCCCACGCAGCTTCGCCTCGCCCGCACGCACGCACGGCGCGCACGACACGAACCCGAAACCGAAATCGATTTCCCGGTAGGGGGGGTCTCCGTTTCACGTCAGACTCACCCCCCGCACACACGCACATACAACACACAGACACACGCACACACACACACACACGCACACACGCACACACGCACATACGCACACACAAACACACACACACACGCGCACGAACGCACGCACGAACGCACACGCACACACACACACACACACACACACACACACACACACACACACGCAAACACGCACGCACGCACGCACTCACACACACACACACACACGCACACGCGCGCACGCACGCAAAAACATGCACACAAACACACACGCACACACACACACACGCGAACTCACACACACACACACACGTACACACCCGCACACACACACACACACATTCGCACACATACATATACACACACACGCACACACGCACACACTCGCACACACATGCACACGCACACGGACACACACATGCTCTCCCGCACACACCCGCACACACGCACACACACACACACGCGCGCGCGCACACGCACACACGCACACACGCACACACGCACACACGCACACACGCACACACACACACACCACACACACATACACGCACATACACAATCAACAACGGAACCACAGCATTCGTGGCCTCGGGGGTGCCCCTGGACGCCCCTGCCAAAGGTCCACCAGGCTTTCTGGGGCTCCTGGAAGCCCTCGCTGGGCCTAGGCGACGGGCCCAAATCGGTCAGCAGGGCGGCCGAACAGCCCTGCGAGGACCCCAAGAGGCTCCAGACATCCACCAGACCCCCGAAGACAGCCCAAAGAAGATCCTCAAGAGGCTTCTGAAATTCGGTCCTCTGGGCGTCCGAGACCGCCCAGGAGGCCCGAAAATCGACCGACGACAACCCAAAAGGATTTCCAGGCAGACCAAGAGAGCCCCAAGATGGCCCAATATGGCCCCAAGATGGCCCGGAGAGAGCTCTATGACGGCCCACGATTGCTCCAAGACGCCTCCCGAAGCATTTCAACTCGTGACCTGGCCGTTCAGGCAGCCCACGGTTGGAAGCAGGAGGCCCGAGGAAGCCATCAGAGGCCCCCAGAAGGCGCCGAGGAGGCCTCCAGAAGACACCATGAGGAGTATTGGGAAAATTCGCATGGTAGGGATCGAATGAGGAAGAGGAATCGGAAACATGAGGGAACGATACCAAAATACGTAATTATAATGAGGCTGTAGGAACAAAAAGCCAACACTGACTTATCGTTCTTGTCATATGTTACCTTCAGGCCCTTCCGCTTGCATGCACGGCATGCCCAACTTCATGGACCAAGGTGCATGTCGCGAAGCGGCACTGCAGCCTTTGTGTGTATACATATTTGCAGGTGCAGATGCACGTGAACATGTATACGCATATGTGCATGTATATGTGTATGTACGGCCATATGCACATTCCATGTGTATATATGTGTGTGAGAGAGAGAGCATGTCTACGTGTAGATCTATATCACTGTATTGAGTACGCATGTCTGTATGCATGTATGTGTGTATGTGCATGGGTACGTATGTATGTGTGTGTGTGTCTGTATGTGTATATGCGCATGTGTGTATGTATGCATCCATGCACGTATGTATGAGTGGGTATGTATGTCTGTATGTATGCATGCATGTGCAGTTACGTATCTGTATAAATGCACGTATGTAGGCACGGTTGTATGCATGCGCTCATGCATGAATGTATGCATGCATGTTTGTATGTACGTATGTTTGCACATGTAGGTATGCACGAACGCGTGGATGCATGCATATGTATGCGGATATCTGTATATGCAGTTCTCTACGTAGGCATGTCTATGTGTGAAAGAGCGTGTTCTACCGCTGCTGGCGGAAAACCGCGGGGGGGGGGTCACTACCGGGTCGAACCCCTCCCCGCCCCCCCCTCCGGAAAACCCGGGGGGGTCACTACCGGTTCGAACCCCTCCCCCCCCCATCCCAGTCCATCGTGAAAAGGGGGGGGGTTCACTACCGGTTCGAACCCCCCCCCCCTTCGAAAACCGAAAACCGGGGGGGGTCACTACCGGTTCGAACCCCCCCCCCCTCGAAAACAGGGGGGGGAAAACAGGGGGGGGTGCGGACAGTGGTGGGGACGGGGGTGGTGGGGACAGTGGTGAGGGGACAGCGGGACAGTGGTGGGGACAGTGGGACAGTGGTGGGGACGGTAGTGGTGGGGACAGTGGTGAGGACAATGGTGGGAACAGTGGGACAGTTGGTGGGGACGGTGGTGGTGGGGACAGTGGTGTGGGGACAGTGGGAATGTGGTGGAAACAGTGGGACAGTGGAGGGTACAGTGGTGGTGGGGACAGTGGTGAAGGCGGTGGCGAGGACGGCGGTGGGACAATGGGACAGAGGTACAGTGGGGACAGTGGTGGGGACAGTGGGGACAGTGGTGGGAACAGTGGGACAGCTCAGTGGGACAGCGGAGGAGTCAGTGGGACAGTGGGGACAGTGGGGATAGTCGGGCAGTGGTTGGGGCCGTGGAGAAAGTGGGGAGAGTGGAACCGTGGTGGGAACAGTGGTGGGGACAGTGGGGACAGTGCGACAGTGGTGGGGGCACTGGTGGGGACAGTAGGGACGGTGGTGGAACCAGTGGGGACAGTGGTGGTGAGGACAGTGGTGCTGGGAACAACAGTGGGGGATGTGGTGCGGACGGTGGTAGGGACCAGGGGTCGTTTGCTGGCTGGCGGAGGGGGGGTGGGGAGGGGTTCGAACCGGTAGTGACCCCCCTGTGGTTTTCGAGGGGGGGGGGGTTCGAACCGGTAGTGAC